CTTCTCTTTCCCCTCATTTTCGTTAATAATCTTCCACGTCGTCGATTTATTAATCAGCAGTAAAAGGTAAAAACGAAGGACGATCGATCGTTCGTCAACGATTAGTCACGATATATATATATATAAGACGGTAGAAAAACACGCACAGTAGATGGATCGAAGGTGTCACAGGCAGTTTTCGTTCCGTATCACGTAACGTTATCTTAATTGTACGGTACAAGACTATATAAGAATTTTATTTTGTGAGAGAACAGTCTTCCGGATGATAGGTATTCGATAGAAAAAAAATGATCGCGCGGCAAAGGAACTCGTGGCTAGAATAGATATACTCGGGTACAACAAAGTGTCCAATTTTTGTGCTTTTCTTTTTCTCTCTCTTTTTCTATTTTTTTTTCTTTTTTTTTTTTCTTTTATATCACAATAAAAAAAAAGTCTCACTGGATCACATGATTTTGAACAGCATTATTAATATATATAAAAGTTGCTGAATCATATATCTAGATTATCCCCGATATCACCGGAGCGGGGATTTTTGAGGATTGGAAATTAATCTCGTTAATTATCGAACGTCTCGAATTGCCGTCGCCATAGATTTTCGACGCTTGATCGGACAAACGGAGAAAAAAGGGCAACGAAATTCACGCGCGACGAAGAAAATTCTAAAATTACAAATTTATCTTTGCTGCGATACATCTTTCACGTTTCGTTTAATTCGAATGTTACACGATGTTAGAAATGGATTACGACATTAATTAATTAGAAGGGAAGATAGATAGATAGATGGATAGATAGATCACGTTTGCTTGCTCATTTCTCTCTCTCTTTCATTCTCTTTCCCCTTTCGCATGCAGTCACACACAAAAACAGATTTCACGCTCGCTAGCTGTTAACTATTTTTTATCGAGTTAATTTAACAGCGATTTAACAGCCACGATTCATCACGGTTTATTACCATTCTCATCGATCATGATTAATCGTAATCATAAATGCTCGCAAATCGACTTTGATCGCCTATCCCTTCTCTTATAATTGTTTCGATATATTTTTCTTTCTTTCTTTCTTTCTTTTCTTCTTTTTCTCTAAACATTTTTTCTTGCTTCCTTGTCGAATATTTCGTAATAAACCTCGAGAAAATCGAATGGGAGGCACGACGACGCGTTTACAACATTTTTTTTTTTTTTCTTTTTGGATCCTCAATTCCTTGTGACATTGCATATTCGCTGCGATGAAAAGAGACAGAGGGGTGAAAGGGCGTTATACAGGAACGCGTGTCTTCTAATCGTTTTTTCTTCGACGATGGCAAAAATAAAAAACGTGCACGACTGTCGGCGTTCGATCGCTCGATCTTGCGGCTAAAGCGATGAAACCGCTTTAGGAAAGGACTTAAAACGAAACGAGAATAACGAGTATAAACGATTCTTTGGTAAAGAAGTGGTCGAATGATCCAACTCGCGTATTAGTACGCATATTACGCGTGTAAATTTAAATTAATACACGCGTATTTATACGCGATGTATGATCGCCGTCCAAGTGTGCGAATAAATGAATTATGTAAATGTGCACGTATGCGAGCGAACGGTGTGTGTGTGTATGTGTGTGTATGTGTGTCGGGGTAAGTATATACAAAAACAAAAAAAAAAAAAAACGAAGAGAAGTGTACACTCACACTTGATGACGAACGAGGTTGAACGAGGGTGTCCATGGTGGCGTGCGTTAACAAAAATGATTTTTGGCACCCAACGACACCGAGAAACGGGCAACCCTCGTTACTTCTTCTTTATATTTTACGTGTACGCGCACATCCTCGCCGACATCCTCGAGAGCGTACGCGTACACTCTATCCTATATCTAAATAACGATTTATTATTTACAGTACAACTGTAGAGAGAATCCCCTTTAGGCTGATCCCACGATCGAATAGCCGTTATTCCGTTTGTGCGAAGACGTGTCCAATTTGGAACTCCTTGCGCTGTGGCCTATACGCCAATGTTCATAGAGAGACAAAGAAATATACATATATATATATAAATATATATACATATACTTTTGACGCTTGCGGAGACGATAGGATCACAGTTGTAGCGCGAAGGGATGAAGAGACGAGAGGTTGAAATGGAAGGAGGAATACTCACAGAATCAGGATTACACTTCGGGCAGTGAGGAGCTCGATCGGTTACAGCGGGTCAGACCGGTTCGAGGAAACACTGCAACCGAAGATCGGCAGGCATCATTGAGGTAACATCTTACAGCTCGACTCCATACCCTCTGGTCTCATACGCATGCTGCCGTTCGTCACGTAACCGTTCGCGTCAACGATAACCGATACACTGCCCGGATGGTTGTGATAGCTTACGTTCCGATGGGTCATCACGATGTTTTTCTCGTGCTCGTTCCCCGTATGCGTGAACATACAGCTATCGCTGCTTCTGCTGCTGCACGGTTCCATCGAGTGGTCCACTCGAATCGGGATAGAATAGTCGGACATAGAGTTCACCTCCACCGTCGCGTATTCCCTGATCATCGTCGATTTCGGTGAATAATCCATCTGCATGTGTTGCATCGACGAGGTGGCCACGTCCGCCTGATCCGTTATCGTGGACACGTGGCCGTTCGCCATCGAGTACAGATCCGGCTCGTCGTGACTTTTCGACGACAGCATAGTCTCCAGACATTGATACAACAACGCGTAATCCTCCTGCGAGGAAATCGAATATTTCGAAAAATATTGAACAACATTTATTAGATACGTATATAAATTGTGCTACCTTTGATCGAAAGACTCCGGGTCGTTTCATGTACAACAATTTCGCGAACATATAAATATCGGCGCTCTTCTCGAACTCCAATTGCTTGTTCAGTGTCGTGAGCAAAATGAAGATTGCAGCCTCGACGCCACCGAACCTAACGTCGAATCGATCGATGTCATTTTTATTCATTATTCATTCGTCGCTCGAGTAGCTCGATTAATCGTAATGCGAAAGATTGCTATTACCTATCCATTACGACAATAGGGCCGTTCTGGTAATCCCGATGTAGATCGTGGATCAAGGTTACGAGGGGTCGCGGGTTAGCGTTGTGGGGCCAGAAGCCTGGCTGAGATCGCGGCCCTTGCACGATTTTGGCACTCAATTCGTAATCGTCTTGCAGAGATCGGACCGCCACTTCGCGCAGGATCATCCCACTCGCGGTCTCCTTGATTCCGCACGATCGAACGCGAAATGTCTCCGACTCTAAATCTTTTCCCTCGGTAGGCCAAAATTCCGGATACTCCTGCGGATCGAAAATTTTGAAACATTTTTTTTTTTTTTTACCGCGTGAATGATGAAAATATCGAACGATTTGCTTTACCTCGTCGCACTCGGTTAACATGACTACAGTTTGCGCGTTGTAATCCCACATCATCTGCCAGAATTCCATGATTGTGTTTTCCATTGGGTGTTGGCTGATGATGAACTCGCGATTCCGATGGAAGCCTGAGAATTTGAACGCTTTGCATATTCCAAGTTACGTCGAGCTTGTGAATAATACGAGATTCGTCATTTACCAGCGATCCATGTAGCGTTGATGTAATCGCTCCCATCGATCCCGGGCTTCGGCGTCAAGTGAACGCGAGCCGTTTCGATCGAAATCACGTCTTGATTCCGATTTTTGTGAAGATTGCACGGTTTGATCGCGGATACGAGATTGAATTCTTTCGGTTTCCACGAAGTCACCAGCTAAAAGAGAGAGAGAGAGAGATTAAGATACTGGAGAAAATCCGGGGAATATAACATTTTATCGTTAACGAATGGCAACCTTGTATTGAGCTTCAAGGTTGTTCCACGCATCGGTATTGGTGTTGTTAGGACTCAACATGTCTTGCACATATTCTAATAAATTGTTTTCCTCGATATTGGTTTCACCGCTTTCAATAGCCTCTTGCAAAGCGTGATGAATGAACACATATTGTTCCTCGGTCTGAACCAAGAAGTTTCTCTGTGTGCGAATGTGCTTTAGAAATCCAAACACGTTCACTTCGTTCTTGCACTTAGCCTGCTTCAGCATGGCATCGATAACAATGTATGTACCCGTACGTCCAACGCCAGCGCTGAAAAGACAACGATTTCGATTCGTGTTTATACGCTCTTTATATCTTCTTCCCCGTCGAATCGATGACCGATCGATCGTCTCTTACCTGCAATGAACGACGATAGGCCCCGCATCCGGGGGATTGGCATTGGAAGATTTCCGGATGAAGCTCAAAACGGGTAACGGATGTTCAGGCACCCCGTGATCAGGCCATCCGGTGTAATGGTATTGCCAAATGATACGTTCTCCCATGTTAACTCCATTCTTCCTTTTCTTCACCTTACACAAAATTGAAGTAACGAAATCATCGTGAAAAATTGATCGATCAATTCTCAATAATAAACATATACCAACCTTCATGTGACGAATTTGAAGAGTACGAATGGTATACGTAGCCATAACGTCCTCCCTCAGTAGAGTCACTTGAATACACCCGTACGTCTCGGACCCCTTCTTAGGCCAGTACATATCACATTTTTTCTGTAGACGAGCGAAATAGAGCAAAATTACGTTCACAATTTGCGTTCACGAAACGCAATTAACGATACTCACGCGGCCACGTTCAACGAGATTCGTAATCATAACGATGATCGATACTCTCTGCTCCCACACCATCCGCCAGAATCCATCGAAAGTTGGTGGCAACGGACCCTGCGTACCGATGTACGCGCGAGTACGTTGCCAACCATCTATGTAATTCGCGTTCACGTAATCGTGACCCTTCTTCGGCGGCCCTCCGCCACACGACAACAACTGAACTCGCGTGTGATCATCTGTGAACAAAGATTTCCTTCTGAATCTCTTTACCACGTGGAACGACTTGCAGCGAGATATTGAGAAAAAAAAGAAAAAATCGTCCAGGTGATTCTCTCCTTTTCTCTCCCTCTCTCTCTCCTCTTTCTCTGATCTATCATCAGCATTGATAGGCATTAACAAGCAGTGCCGCGAAACATCTGTGACCTCATTGTCGAGTGCTGCCAGTCACTCGCATTAAAAACGAACGAGAGTAGCTCGTTAATCCGATAACATCGTGAAACTGGCCGAGAGGCAAGTGGCTCGCGAATTTTGACATATAATCGCGGGATTTTAATTCCAGTCTCACGATTAATATTCTTCTTATCTTAAAAAAGGACTTATCGATACGTTATCGATAAAGAAATCGCGAGAAATTTTTCATTCGACATTTTTCCAAAGAAAAAGAGAGAGAGAGAGAGAGAGATTATGAGATGTTATCGCGAGAACGATATTCGGGTGTTCAATTGAATACGATTATTACGAGCGCATGAATGGCGAATGAAGGTTGAATCTTAATGTAACGTGCACTTGATGCGCGCTTGTCTTCATAAATAGACGGCCTTGATTCCACCATATGATAAGGAACGATCGATTATCGGGAATAACGGAGGAATTTTCTTATCGAGAAACGCGGAGTAAACGGTAATAAAGGTTAAACTAGGATCGAGCGAAGGAAGGAATCGTTTCGAAAACGAGACGGATTGTGGATAAAATGGAAAGCGAGCACGAACTCGATTTCAGCTCCATTGAGGATAGATCCCCGGTGAGGAGGAGGCGAGGTCGAGCCACGACGATTGCGAATTTCCGATCCCCGCGATTACAATTGTCCCCGGCATTGTGCGTTTCTGCCTCGGCGTACGTGAAACCTCGCGTGTGCCCGATGACGAACAAACGTAAGTAACGAATGGAAGGAAACCTTGAAGAAACGGAAACGTGCCAGTTGCCAGAGTTAATCGATTAATCGGGGCGCTCGATCGGTGTTGCCGAGAGTAGAGATAACGCTGAGTGTCGTCCACGATACGGATAGAACGAAATTAAACGTCGCGATATATCGCGAGGATGAAAGGGAAACCGGGTTTAAAAATAGAAGCTCGACGCTGGTGGGCCGGGAGAAGAAAAACAGGAGCGGTGGACCTGTCGAAACCATCCGCGTGCGCTTCGATGGAAATAAAGTTTCGTTCCACGAAGTGAACTTCTCGTTCCGCTGGAAAAAGAAGAGAGAGAGAGAGGAGAGAGGTAGGAGGAGAAAAAAAGGAACAAAGTTTTACACGTGCGCTCTAATGGATGCGATTACTCACAGGCTAATATGTTCAAGTATCGGTTCTTCGCTTTGTTCTCCACGTATTGGGAATTCTCCGCTGTGAATTTGCCGCTCTCCGATTGAATGAACTCGTATTCCTTGCTGAATCCAATGTCCCCGTCCGCGTGCAGGCTCGCGACGTGTTGCACGAACTTCTGAATGGCGACCGCGGTACGCTCGCCGTCCTGCTCGCTGTTCTCCCATTCCTGAAGCGTGGGCACGTTGCGAGGCGGATAATCGAGGAAGTAGTACGCGGTGTGGAAGCATTTCCTGAAAATTGGCCTCAGGCAAGGCCTAATGAGTTTCGTCATAAGCGTGCATTCCGAACGAAAAAACGTGAGAGACGGGCACGGGAAGGAGGAAAAGGAAGAAGGAGGGGGACGGACGCAAAAGAGAAAACGAACATCGAATACGTTCTTTTTTTTTTTTTATTATCGAGGCGCATAAAAGTTGTACGACCTTCTTTCGTAAAACTTGTATCCTTATCAAAGCGCAATAATTTGAACGCGATAAAAGACACGAGTTTACCTACGATTTGTTTCCTTTTCGCGTTATCGTTTACGATCGATCCATCGATGTACATACAACCGACGCGTATGCACGATGAGAAATCTTCGTATTCTTTGTTCATCGACGATTTTTCGTAATGGAAAGAAGAAGAAGAAAAAAAAAAGGAGAAGAAGGAGGAGAAGAAGAAAAAAAAAGATTTTCGCAAGAGAGAAACGAAACGTTTCCCCGTTTCTACTCTCACAACTCACAGTTCGAGGAACTTCTTCATCCCGTCGACGAGCTTCTCTCACTATCCATTCTAGTTTTGCAGAGAGAAAATTTCCAAGATCGGTAGAGCAAGAAGAAACGGTAAGGTAAACGTTCCTCGAATAGACCAGGAGAGCGAGGAACGCAGAGAGCACAGGCCGAGGCTGGCCGTCCGTGACCCAGAAAATATTCCTTCTTTACACGAATCGTTCTCTCGCGAGTATGATCGCGCACAGGTATCACGGTCGAATCGACGTCCTTGAATAATATATATCTTCGAGCGAATCGGCGATGATCGAAATTTACGAGGGATTGCACGCGACGGCACGTGTTTTGGCACACGACTATCGGGATCGTTCGAGACACTCCACACTCTCCGCGTGAAACGAACGAAACGTGACGATCCGCTCGAAACGAAACGCCGCCGTACGACTGAAGGAAGCCTCGCTTCGCCGTTGTTACATTGCCGTTATCGCGAACGATAAGAGGTCAGCCGGCGATAGAGAGAAGGAGAAAGATTGCGGGGAAAGAAAGGGTTGGAGGGGGGGGAGGAGGGGAGGAAGAGAGGCGAACCGTGAATCGGAGAGAAGCGAATGTTCACCGTTCGCGTAATTGTTTCCCCTGTCCCATTAACGATGATATTGCGCGGTCAGTCTAAATACCACGAGACCAGCCGGTATACTGCTGAGCGCTCGCCGACCCAACTAATCGCGCACCGACTGCGTGCCATTTAATACTGCGTGACTGCATCGTGGATCGTTTGTAATTGCACGATGACGAACGAATGCCTATTATCGTGCGATGGGGCAGAGATATAGCGTTCGCAAAGTTGAATGAGCGAACACGAGCCCGTATCGGCGTGTATCGGCCGGCTTGCGTATCGCGTGCTTGTCGTTGGGCTCGGGAGGAACGAGTATCGCTTTTTTCGAATTGCGAATTCGCGAATTGAGAGGAAAAAGAGAAGAAGAAGAAGAAGAAGAAGAAGAAGAAGAAGAAGAGAAAGAGAAGGAAAAAAAGGAAGGAGGAGGAGAAGGAGGAAGAACGATATCGTGCAAAATAAAAGATACAGAGAGGAAAATAAACGGTTGATCCTCACTTCCACAGTACGAAGGAGGTGATCATCAGCATCACCGCGAGACAAGCGCAGATCATCCCGGCGATCACTCCGCTGCTGAACCATATGGTGGTGTGTGGCAATAACGGTGGTGCCCTGTTGCAATCGCGAATACCGCGCACCTTCTGTGGAGCAGAGCCTTCTCCGCGTATAATCAGCCGATTGTCGATAGCGCTCCGCGTGCCTCCGCGTACCACGATCTCGTATACGCTGTTCATCGTCAGGTTGGGTATGATCATCTGTGGATAAAACAACGTTTATCGAGCTTAATCGGTTGCGTAGTGGCAGTTTCTCCGTAATTCCCGATTCTACTCCCCCTCCAATCTTACTTCTCTCTACACGAGAGCCTCGTTGAGTCATGGTAAAAATTTCAATTCGAAATTCAACGAGATAACGAAGTTTCTCTCTGTCCCTCCGTGCATTTCCGCCACGTCTGCAGTCGATAACCGACAAACGTTTTAATCGTTCAAGGATGTTGTTTTCGCAACAGCTTAACTCGTGTCCGTTTCGAACAATCGCCTCTTGTTCGAAACAATTTTATCTGAAATACCATCGAGGAATCGAATAGGAGAGAAAGAGAGAGAGAGAGAGAGAAGGAGAGAAGAAAAAAATCGTTTATCCAAAGAAAGGTTAAAGAAATAGTCGATTGGCCGGGAAAAGATTCGCCAGATATAGAAACAGAGTTCCACCCCGCTAATTCTCAGAAATTGAGAATCTTTTTTCTAGTACTCGTAAAGCTGTTCACGGTGAAACCGCGAGGAACGAAGAAAGTGGAAAGAGATGATCACTGTCGCGGCACTCGGCCATTCGAGTTTAAAATTTAAAAAACTTACCGCGTTCTCGAGATAATTTTTCTCCGTCATCATTTCGATCTCTTCGTAACGATTGTCATTCTCGATCCGATAATTGATGAAGTAGTAGTCGATCGAGCCCCAGAAGATGTTCGGCCTGGCCCATTGGATGTAGACGGAGTCGTGGGTCGGGCAAGTGACGTTCAAGATCAACGGAGCGCTCGGCCCTGAAATATCTGTCCGACGAATGATGTGCTCCGAAGGCTCGCCCTCGTTCTTCCACGTGTAAGCTTTTACCCATATCTCGTACTCGGTGTACGGTTCTGAAAGAGGATTATCGATTAGTCGATTCGATATCGCGATCTGTAATCGAATATTTTTACAACGTGGGATGTGCAGCCATTTTACGAGTAAACATAATTTTTCTTTCTTTTTCTTTTCTTTCTTTCTTCTTTTTTTTTTTTTGCAACAGAAAACAGATATTTAAATATAAACGAATGAAATTGGCGTCGTTGAACGTTTGGATGGAATATCTGATATTTGATATCCACAATGCACGTATTTCGCAAATGATCGAGCGATTGTGATCGAAAGCAAACGAGACAAACGAGAGTTTAGTTTCGATCGATTTGCAAAATATGTTGCAACGAACGCAAGCTTTATCTCGCGAGTAAGATCGAATTTGTGCTTCATTGCACGAAACCCAGATACCAACGTATTATCTAACGATGCATTCACCTGCAGTCATCGAGCATATAACTCAGCGCGATGATAAGAGTTCCGGTTTATCGTCGAGCTACGCGTACTGACTGTCTCCTATTCCTTTAACCCGAACGACAATTCTCGAAACGGACTGTTATCAGGATTGTTTATTTCATTCCGAGGCCTAGCTCCGGTACAGAGAAGAGAGGAGAAACGAAAGAATTTTACCCGTTTCTCAATTTTGTTTTCGTTCTTCAACGAACGAATACTCACCCAATTCCTTTAAAACGAATTCGATAATTGGCCCATCGTACTCCGTTCTGTACATTTTGACGTCGGTGTAATTGGAATGCATGTAGTAAATGCGATAACCGGATATGATCCCATTGGCGTAGTCAGGCTCGGCCCAGGACAATTCGATGGTGGTGGAGGTGATGCCGTGAGACGATAGGTTTAACGGTTTCGTTGGCACTGAAACGAAAAACGAAAAACTTCAACAAAGTTCTCGTGCGTATCGCGAATCGCTCTCTGGCTCTCGTATATATACGAGAGTATTCGTTATTACATCGTCGAAATGTGTTTTCGTAAGAAAGAAGAAACGTCGAGGAAAGTTTGGCGCGAGCGATCGTTGAAAACAACGATTTTGTCGAGGCGAAGCGTAAACTATTTTTCGGTCGATGCACTCGTGTCAGTTTTTCCTTCCTTCCTTCCTTCCTTTTCGTCGGCCGCTTATCATCTTCCAAGGTGGCTTTCCAATTTTCAGCGCACAAAGACAAGAGCGAGGTTGCCACGGCCGAAGTCTGAATAATTAATTTCGCCTCGAGTGTCTTCTCAGACCCCCTCGCGCCGTGACGAGTAACTCTATAGACACCATTCACTTTTCGTACGGAGCGAAGCCACAACTTCTAAGACGGTGGCTTTGCTTTCATCCTCTCTTAGGCCAAAACCTAAGTGCCGTATAACTGGTGGCCGGCGGAGAGAAACGATTCAAGCGGATCGAATTTTATCGCGTCGCTTTCGATCCACCGGCGAAACATCTGCTCGCTTCAGGGCAAAAGGGGGAGGGGACGAAACGAAGGAATACACGCGAAACGACGCGCGTCGTCTGCATCTGGCTTCGCGATTGAATTTCGCCAGGTTTTAAACGATGACGAATGAACGCGACGAAACGGCAGCGTTACAAACCGTTTTCTCATCGGCACTCGTTCTCGTTTCTGTTCCAAACGAATCGAGAGATCGGATATCGCGAAATCGAACATAACAAATGCACTCGGTTCGTTGAAATTTTCGCTCGCTTTCGTATTCCCGTATTCGCGCGTGCGTATACGTTCTACTTGAAACGATGCATCGGGCGAATCGATATTCTACGCGCACGAAACGGAGTTCGGTAATTACAGCCATACCCTTCGGTGCTTCTCTGTAACGCAACACTCCTACGCATCAACGGCACGCTAGTCGCGCGAACGTGTACATTCGAGCGATTTGTGAACGGTTGATTGGACCGACTAATATTACACGGAGATTTGTCTTCTCGAACGCGTAATATCTTGAATAACGGGAGAAGGGATTGAAATTTTTTAACGAATTGTGCGCGATTTTCCAAAATTTCCATTTTTGAAAATATCCAATTTCACCCGATGAAACCTAACGGAGGGAACCAAAGCTGCGAGAATTACGAACGCGCCGTTTCTATCCCCGACACGATCACTCACGTGATTTAAAAGGACCTGAAAAAGCGTATCCACGCGACTTGTCGCGTTTCGCGCTCGATCCCCCCCGCAGATTCGCGCCGTATTCGACGATTTTTCCGTGACGTTTCGTCGCAAAAGAGTCTCGCGACGCGTCTCGTTTCACGCAAGCTTCTCTCCCTCCGGCTTTTCTTCGCCGTTGAAAAAAACCAAGCTCGAGCAAGAGAACCTCCCTTTCCATTCGCATTCACGGAGAGGGGGGAGAACGTGCGCGACGATCTTTAGAATTCGCGTCCGAATCGCGATAAAAATTTATATACGCGGCTTCTGGAAAAAATTGTATGCAAGTGAACGGAAGGAAAGGTCTCGAACGGGGCGAGATTCGAAGCGAATCGAGCTCGAGGGAAATTAAGGAAGGGAGAAAGAACGACGAAAATTCGAATCCCGCGCGAACGTGATAAAAGCGCGTGAACATCCTTCCTTTGATCGAGCGAATATCAATCACGTGAATTACGTTCCGTTTACGTATTTTGAATCGAGAATTAAAGTTACAGACATAATAATACGTAGAGGAAGAGGATATTGTTCAATCCTTTACCCCTTGGCTGCAATTTAGAGGTGAGTTTCTTTCGAAGTTGGACGAAAGACTGGTTTGGAACACTGCTGATCGGGAAATGTTCGGCAAGAAAAATCTTATATAACGTACAAGATTGGAAGTTGGTTCTTTGGTAACGACTCACGACTGAACGATTCTTTCAAAATAATCTTGGCAAGAAAAGAAAAGAAAAAGAAACTGGCTTGGCGAAACGGAAATATGGTATCGAGTCGTGAAATTATACGCGGTTATATTGTAGAAATCAAAAATCATTTTCGATCTCCTCGTTTAAAATTTCCTCCAATTTTCACAGTTTATCTGGAACAATAGGTTTTCCATCTTCCTTCTCACAACCGACCCAGACACGGATCCGTGCGATGTGTAAGACAGGTACGGGCGAAAGTTGTATTATTAGGGTCGGTTCGCAATACGTAACGAACGTTTGAGTGAAAGGAAAGGTTGATAAGAAAAGCGAGGATCTTTGGCTACCTGCTACTCGTTACCTGGCTTTCTCGTTTCTTCCTCGACGAGAAACGTTTATGAACTTGAAACCATCTCCGCTCGTCGCAAAGCCTGCAGCACCGTTGCAATTTCGTCCTCGAACCGGTGTCCCGGCAAAAACGCTCGCTGTCTTAACGCGTTGGGTGACTCATGCCACTCCTCAAACCTGAATTCCAACTCCGTGGAAACTAGAATTCCAATCTAATCTAATATTTAACTGCTACGGAACTGCTACACGGAAATATTCAGTATGGAATTGAAAACTGGCGATTTATTTATTCGCGAGATTGAGCATTTTCAAACTTGTATTTATTTCAAATCTATTGGAGAATCGAATTGAATTAATCGGGTTTAACAAAGGTGTGGCGAGTAAGAAAAAAAAAAAAAAAATGCGTCAGCGGGAAACAATTGCATCACGTTGCGCATACTCCATCCTTCCAACGAAAGAGAATCACTTTAAGAGCATTGCACATATTACTACGCGCGCCAACGACTAAAAAAGGATCGAACTTCACCTCCACGTCCGCCGTCCACGTGGGAGCAAGGTGACTGTCGCGCGGCGAAAGGCCGACATTAAGAGGTCCGATCGATTCGAGAGATGGACAAACTCGAGCGCGAGCTCCAAACATTTTCGAGTCGATGCGAATTAGACGTCCTTGATGTCCTCGTGCCTTCTGCGTAAAAATAGACCGGCTGAAAATGCCTCGTGTACGGTTAACGTGCTCCGACTTGGAAAGAAACGGGCCGAAAACGAGAGAGGAGGAGAGGAAGAAGAAAAAAAGGAGCCTTTCCACGGCCGAGTTTCTATAATTTTATACCTGCTCGATGGCACGAGGTCAGATCGGAGATTGTTGCGAACGAGACGCGAACGAGAAATCGCGATGATTTCTCTGAACGCGGATCACGCGAGTGACGATCTGTGTAAGGCGGTTGCGAAACTGGACCGAAACGGCGCGTAAAAAGCGGCCCCTCCTCGGGGATCGGGTCGGTTGTTCCACCGAGCGGAAACGCGACTCGCTTCCTGGCGGAGGGAGGCAAAGGATCGAGTGACGAGGATTTCTCGGCGCCGTTTCCTCGCGCGGCGAGGAGAACTAGTTCCGTGGTCACGGTTCGGAACCTGATCGCGGCCAGAAGGAAACGCAACGCGGTGTTTTCACGCGTTTATGACAGCGTGCATACCGCGAATCCGCTGTTAAAACCGCTTACGTAACGAAGCGAGCTGCGTTTCAGGGGAAGCTGAGTAAAGCCGAAGGGAGGTGGATAACGTGCTGGCCGACGGGCAGAAGTGGATTCCGCGAGAGAAATGTAGTACAAGGCGCGGTAGTGCACCTCGGAATCGAGACGGAAAAGGAAATGAATCGTGTGCTCGCAAACGCACGACTGAAACGACGCGTGGAAAAATTCTTTTCTCCACGCGTAACGTGACCTGCGCTATCGACGATCCTGTCGGATGTTTTTTTTTTCTTTTTTAGGGAAATTTTGATATCCGTTTGAATAGAATAGAATGGATATAGAATGGGAGTGATTGAAAGAAATTGGAGATGAAAGAGAGGAGGGGGAGACAAGGAAATGAGTTTATAGGATAGGAGCAACTTTCTTCTGTACGGTATATTGGAATAGATATAAGCGTATAAAGATGACACGTATAAAGGAGTCGTTGATAGTAAAATCTCAAATCCCAGAGATTTTAACGGTAGAAATTACTACTTTGTCACGGTTTCGTTGATGCCTTTTATGCCTCTTTCCGTCTACTCTTTTTTACGATATACTTCTGCTTTCACGTTAATTACTTGGCGAAAACATTCCGCTCTACTCCAGAGAACGGTGAAAAAGTTGCTTCAATCTTCTTCCGCGCAAAATCGAATCGTTTAAATCGAAAAGAAAAGAAAAAAAAAAGTTATTATCATCTTTATCGTTCGTTGTTACGTACTCACGAGATAAATCTAAACAGAAAGAGTAAGAATTTTTTCGTTCCCATCGGGATGGAAAATATTCGACGGTCGAATGGAATAATCCCATTTACCTTGATAGACATCGGTGTCGTTCTCCGTGGAGGAGATCGGCATCGTGTAGGTGGTCTGGTCGTAAGTCTGCTCGTCCGTGTACGCGATCGGGTCCGCGGATGCGAACAGTATCCGTAGAATGACAGCCACTGCGGCCGCGAGTTGAGCGGCACTGGCTATCCTGGCCCACGACATTTTCGTTTTGCAGCTGCAGCTGTGAAGCGCGGTGTGGCGCGGCGTGGCGTGGCGCACGGCGTGGCTCGCTCGCTCGCTCGCTCGCTCTCCACCGGGCTATTTCACGAATTCGTCCATCCTAGTCGCTCTTGGCGGTGTTCTCATCGCGCTCGTTTCACCCTCGATACACCACTCGCCACCACTCGGGGCACGCACACCAACCACGAGAAGAACACGCGACAGGATGGTCCGCCGTACGGCCACCGCGAATGTTCATCGCTGTTTTCCGCCTCTGCGTGCAGCGCCACGTTCAAAACGTGGTGCCCGTGCTCCACGGGGGGAATGGAGTTCACGTCAGTTTGCGTCGTCTCATGGCACGAGATTGTTCCAACCACGAAGCGAAAGTTCGCCTCTCGGAAAGTTCCGATCTCGTTCGGAAACGTTCGACCCGAATGGGGATGGTTACTGGCGCACTATGATCATTTTCCAAATGTTTTCCTCAATCCGCTGGTGGAAGGGGGCACGGGATTAGAGGAAAAGCGATCGATCGGCCGGCCTGTCCCTCGCTCGCCTGGAGGCAATATAGGAAATTGTCGAGGCGTATCGGACGGTAAGGATCGAAGCTAACGAAGCAGTGATTGCGTTCGCGCTGCATCCTGGCGACCCGATAAACCTCCGCGCGCCACGTACACGTCCGTGCAACGTGACCGGAATATCAACGTGGCTCGAGATCGAACTGGCTAGCCCAATTTGGTTTGTCTCCCGTTGGACTTGTCTCTCTCTCTCTCTTCTCTCTCTCTTCTCTCTC